AGCTCCAGGCGCGCACCACCGCCTTGCTTGTTGGTGGCCTTATGCTTTTGTGTGTCGTGTAATTTTATCTTGTCAGAGGAGTAGCAATAGGACGACCTGAGTTTTGCTGAATGTCTCCGCCGTCATTCGGAGTCATTCAGTCCTAGGAGTTGATGGTGTTCTGTCATTTCGGATCTTGCAGACTTTGGTTGGCTGGGATGTGTATTTTGGTTCCTTTTGTAGATGAGCTGCCAAGGAAGTCCATCTCAGGTTTCCCTTTTCGTTGACTTCTTTAAATATGACTCGGACTGTTGGTATCAAGTCTAAAGGTCTCTTTTAAACTGAAACAGTGCAGTTCTGTCGGTGAGTTTTCCACATCTTGTATAATTAGTCCAAATGCTTAAAGTGCAAAAAAAAAAAAAAAGTGGCTCTGATACTGTTAAAGGCTGTTTTTATAATTATCCATTTGAATAAGACAGTTGCTGGATAAGAAATACGTTAACAGTGATTGGCACCGCCTCTGCATTCACATCTGTGGTTTCATTGCTTTCGTGATTTAATTTAGAAACTATATATTAAGTATAAATATATAACTTTATATTAAGTAGTTGTCATTTTTATAGACAGGGATGTTGAATCATAAAGATATTAACGGTTTTGCCCCAGGTCACCCAGTTGATAAGTTTTACAACCAGGATTGGCTCTGAGATCAGTACTTCAGGGCTCGGACATTTGGGGGCAAGATAAATAATGTTATTAGCTATTCTTTTTTAATCTTCATTGTTGAAAGTATTACATAGGTCCTCCTTTTCCCCTCATTAACCTTTTCCAGCCCACTCCCATCCCTTCCCCCCACATCGTCTGTGTCCAGGGTAGATATTATTTCTTAATCCTCTTTTATTGTACTGGTACCTACAAAGAGATTACCAAGAAAACTTGACCCTTAAATCAAAAGATTTGTCAAGTTTATGCAGTTTTGTTGTGGGCAGCAGGAACCAGCACCAGGTGTCTGGTGGGTGAGGCCAAACCTGGGTTTAGCAACCTCAGTACTTAGGTTCTGGCTAGGAAAGAATTCAGAGCAGACCCACACTGTAAGAGAACATTTATGGGGTAAAGTACAGAGGTCGAAACAGTAATTCCTAGAAGAAATGGGCTCAGGAATCAAGTTATAGAGCTAAAGGAAGGGCCCTGGGAGCTTGGGAGTGAAGGGGCTAATGGTAACAGGCCTGGGGCAGGGAGGAGAAGAGGGAAGGGAAGGGAACAGAAAGGCAGGCATGTGCTCCCGAGGGTCCTCTGTCCTAAGGTTTTAAGGATGGACATTTTAGGGGAGGTCCTAAGGGAAGATCTTACTAGAATTTTCAGCAGTTTCCCAGGTGTATCCTTTCGGGGTTGTGGTCTCCACACTGATTGGCAAGCACCAGGGCAGGTGGTCATTACTCAATGCCGGTGGTGGTCCTGACGTGGCTGTTTTTGTCGCTTATCTGATCCTGACAACTGAGGCATAGATGTTATCTCTGGGGAGAAAAGGTCAAAGGGCCCATGCTCCTGACATTTCATAGGGGAGGAAAAGTTACCCTGGGGGCAAGGTCCCACCCTCCCAGTGATTGTCCACTAGGCACCTGAGGCTTTCCATCCCCATGACCTTCTGTACTCGGCTCATTGCTCTTGCTCTGCTCTTGTCTGTCTAATGCAGTGGTTCTCAACCTCCCTAATGCCGCGACCCTTTAATACAGTTCCTCATGTTGTGGTGACCCCAACCATAAAATTATTTTCGTTGCTACTTCATAACTGTAATTTTGCTACTGTTATGAATCGTAATGTAAATATCTGATATGCAGGATTATTTTCATTGTTACAAATTGAGCATAATTAAAGCATAGTGATTAATCACAAAAACAATACTATATATGTGTTTATATATATAAACAATAATTATATATGTGTTCCGATGGTCTTAGGCGACCCCTGTGAAAGGGTCGTTTGACCCCCAAAGGGGTCGCGACCCACAGGTTGAGAACCACTGATCTAATGCCTAAAACAGTTTGGATCTCAATTCTGTATCTTCAAACCCTACCTAGGTTTTAGCTCTGAGCTTTTCAGCCCTTGGGAGTCTCTTAATGACCCTATTCTTATTCTTTCCCCCCAAGGTTTATATTAAAGAAGAATTACATACATTTGCTCATGTGCAATGCAAACTATAAATAAAAATCCTGGGCTTATGTGTATAATGGTGCCTTTGTTTTAAAACAACATTGCCAAAAGAGTTGGTGCTAGAATTACTCTATAATCCAAAATTATAGAGGTAGGATGCATGAGAAAGCATATCTTGAATCAGCATATGTATTCAACCTTTTGAAATCATTTCCTCTAAGGTTAGAGAGGAACAATTTTAGAAGATCTAAGAATACTAATTATATTAATAAAGAAAATTCAGACCACAACTAGCTTGAGTTATTGTTTGGTCATCATTTAAACCACACGGTGAGAAGGATGTTGTTAATTTTAATACTGGATTAAGTACTAGATTTGGTAAGTTCTTATTTCTTCAAGCACAAAGTGTTCTTGAAAGCTGGGGAGTCTCTTAATGCAAGCCAGCTATTTTGATCTGTCCTGGATGATACCAGACTATAGACTATTATAGAATAGTAAGAAGCTAGGAAAATTCCAGGACAAGCAGAGTAGAAAAACTAAGTTACTTAAACAGCAGTTTGCAGCCACCTAATAAATCTTATCTTCCTTAAACCAAGGACACTTAAGAGTAAATGGTTTGCACTTCTCCTCCCCAACCAGAGAGTAAATAGTTTAAATAGCCCTACTCAGGGAGACAGATAACAGAAATTAGTGCCATTTTCCAACCACACCCAAGGACAGACAAATTAAGAGACTAAATCTCATTTTGGTACCTCAGCATAAAGCTGATGAATATTCTATTGATCTGCCCCTAAGACCTCGTCTAAACACTCGGTCTTTATTTATTTTTTTAAATATTTGTGTTGATTTCAGAGAGGAAGGGAGAGATAGAAACATCAATGGTGAGAGAGAATCATTGATTGGCTGCTTCTTGCATGTCCGGGATTGAGCCCAAAACCCAGGCAACACAGCCTTTAAAACCCCTAAAAATGAAGGTCCCAGGGCACTCACCCTCTAAGGAGCATGCCCGTGCCATTCCCTCTCCCCTGCCCCCCACTTATCTGCTAACCTCTAAGGGACCCCTATGATACTTGCAACCAGGGAGCAATGGGGAGCAGCAGCTAATCCAGGGCTAGCCCCCTTGAACCTGTCTCCAAGGCCCCCTGTTCTCTGACTTCCCAGTGAGCCAAGGCAGCCCAGCCTGGGCTCTCCTGTTGCTTCCTCTAGGCCAGTGGTTCTGAACCTTCCTAATGCCGCGACCCTTTAATACAGTTCCTCATGTTGTGGTGACCCCCAATTTCATTGTTACAAAGTGAACATAATTAAAGCATGGTGATTAATCACAGAAACAACATGTAATTATATATGTGTTTTCCGATGGTCTCAGGCGAAAGGGTCGTTCAACCCCCAAAGGGGTCGCGACCCACAGGTTGAGAACCGCTGCTCTATGCCCTTCCTTGTTTCACTCTCCTAAGTATATTTTTGCTGCGCTCAATAAATTCTTGCCTGCTTTTGTCCACTTTGTCTCTTCTCTGAGGTCTTTCCCGCAAGAAAACAAGAACCAAGATCTTCTTGTCTCTCCAGTAACAGGGCCAGCAGGCTTTCTGTTGTTGTTGTTGTTTGTTATACGAGTTCCTGTGGTTAAAGAACTGAGGAGTTATCCTGTGAAAAGAACATCTGACACTGCTGGTCAAACGTGTGTACTGAGTCTGTGCTGAGTAATTCACTCAGCTTGAGAAAAACCCCAAATCTGCTCTTAGATTCCAAGCGGCCGGTGAGCCTACACACCGGGAGCTGGGAGTCCGTGGCCGCAGCCTCTCTGCACGTTAGTAGGGGCGTTAAGGACAGGGCTCCTTTGTTGACACTCTTCACGAGATAGGCAGTTTCTCCCGGCCAATCTGCCCTCTAGTGTAAGATAAGTTTACTTAGCAAACAGGATCTATTATACGTGATGTTTATTTTTTCTTTTTCTGTTATGACCATGGGCAATCTACCCAGAAGGGGAAATAATATTCCTACCTCACCAAATACACTTTTTTTTATTTTTGTAAATGCATATTTTATATATTTTCATGGTTGTAATGGATTCTACTCTGTGTGTCCCTCTCCCCATTCTCATTATTTCATTGCATATTTTTATGAATTGACAAAATCTGCAGATGTGAATTGGTTGCTATATAGTATTTTATACATTTGGTTGCCTGGATTTTCTTAGTCATTCACCTTTTTTGGGCATCAGTATAGTTTCTGATCTTTTTTTATATACATAGTGATGTTATAAAACCATTGGTGCATGTCATAATAATTGACTTCTGGTATATTTTTCAGTTTTTAATTTTGGAGTGTTTGAAAACCACACAAAGTTGAATGCTCGTATACCCTTCACCTAGATTCAGACGTAGTAGACTGACCATATTTCAGTTGAATCTTTTGGAGAAACCCCACTATCTAATGCCATAGTAAAAGAAAATCTACACGAAACGAGAGAAGCAACTCCAAACAAACAAGCAAAACAACCTGGCAAGTGAGTTGAGAAAAATCAGTAAAAGTACAATGGTCATTGGTTCATCCCTCCATTCAGTTAAGGAAGCTTCTCTCCCCACCCCTTTTTAAAAACTCCTAATGCCCCTTGTGTAGCAGGATACCTGGTACATATTCAGTAATCCATGTTTACTTAATGAGCATTTGCTGGGCAGGTACTGTGTGAAGCAAGCAAAGATGCGTGCCATTTGTTCCTGCCATCAGGTAGCCTGCTT